AACCTTATATCTGTTTAATAAAACCAAGGAAAGGAATTCTGAATGTTCAAATATGTAAAAACTGAATACATTTTTTAAAAAGTGATTTAAATCACTGATTTTTATTTTAATAATCAAGTTGATTAAAATATTTAAAAAATCTACTGATTTAAATCAACCCAGCTCTGATTTCAATTATGGAAGAAACAGTTTTTTAAATAGAATATTGTATTATTTTACAGTGAAAGGAGGGAAAGCAGACTTTTAAACATGATTATATTAGTCTACTTAACCTTATATCTGTTTTATGAAAATAAGGAAATGAATTCTGAATGTTGAAATATGTAAAAACTGAATAAAAATAAATTCTTAAAAAAGTGATTTAAATCACAGATTTTTATTTTAAAAATCAAGATGATTTTTTTTAAAAAATCAACTGATTTAAATCAACCCAACCCTGGTTTTATATAATATTATACAGTGCAAAACACACACACACACACACACAAACACACACACGCATACACACAAACAAACACACACACACACGCGCGCATACACAAACACACACATACACACCCGCACGCATACACATGCACACACGCACAAACGCACACATTCAAACAACAGCTTTCAAACGAAGGGTACTTCACGTTATCTTTCGTTGGACCCAAACAGTAACTTAGTACCACACTGAGAAACACTGTCGTCGGGACTGTCTGAGACGGCCACCCACTGTCGAGAAGAACAAAGGCCGTGTTAAACAGGTGACCTTTTTTTAAAAACTAAATGTCATTATGACGTTAAAAAAAAATACACAAGGAAGGAAATAGAAGGTGACCGTTTATGCAGGTGATTGCCATATATAGATGGTCGTTAGCACAGGTTCGACTGCACTTTCATGGAGACCATCTCAATCTGGTGAAACTTTTCACGGTTGAGTCGTCTGCACTTTTAAAACAACACGCTCAATCCACTGAAAAGAGCGCGCATGTTCCCAATTGCAAGCCTCCCCTCTTTGTCAATTACCATTACCATCATAAAGAGCCGGTCTGAAACCGACATCGGCAATCACGGGTTCCCAATATTCATCTCTCCGCTCGGATGCTCTCAAAAGTCCTCTTATTATCTGGTGTTTCTCCGTCACCCATCTGTCTTTAGTTTTAGTATTAGTAAGAGTTTACGGCACTTGCAACACAAAAAGGTCATATAAGTGCCGAAGATTAAGAGGTGTAAGAAGAGAGAAACAAACACAAAAAAGAAGGAGGGGAGATAGAGACGATAGATTTTTTATAGGAAAGAAGGAGCAAACCACACCAGAGCACCCGCCAACCACCCACACTCAATCACTGCTCAATAATACCGGATATAATACAGTCGAATTTGTCGGCAACCGACCCAGCGTTGTTTAAGTAACAGTTTTACAGCACATGCACAACAGTAAGGTCACATAAGTGCCGAAGACTAGATCTAGGTGTTACAAGATAAAAACAAACGTTGTCTTTTTAAAAAGTGGAGGAGATATAAGGATGTTCGATAGGAAAAAAGGAGCAAATAACAACACAGTACCCGCCAACCATCCGCTACCGGCAATTTTGTGCACGGAAAAGGTAAGACAGGCAGACAAAAACAACAGAGGGAAAGAAAACCAGAACCTAGCAGTGGCGCCCTCAAAGCACCCTCATCTACATCTGAGACCAAGGTATCCCATCAAAAAATCATCACATGAAAAGCATCGAGAGAAAGAAAAAAACGTAGTTAGAGAAAACGAAATGGGTGGAGAGGAAGTAAGAGAAAACGAAATAAGAGGAAAGGAAATGAGAGGAAAAGAAGTAAGAGAAAACGATATAAGAGGAAAAGAAACGAGAGGAAAAGAAGTAAGAGAAAACGATATAAGAGGAAAAGAAACGAGAGGAAAGGAAATAAGAGAAAACGAAATAAGGGGAAAGAAAGTTTAGTAAGAGAAAACGAAATAAGAGGAAAGGAAATGAGAAATGAAATGAGAGAAAAGGAAAGGAATGTCGACGGGAAAAAGACTGAAGAGAGACAAGAATGTGCACGGTGTAGGCAGCCTGGGGTCATCAGTCACAGTAAGGTCAGTTCACGTCTGTCTGTCTGTCTCTCTGTTTGGTATA